TACAGACAGTGAAATAAGGTGTAATTGTTCTAATTTATACCTACAGACTTTGAAGTAAGGAGTAATTGTTCTAATTGATATCTACAGATCGTGAAATAAGGTGTAATTGTTATAACTGATACCTACAGACCATGAAATATAGTGTAATTGTTCTAATTGATACCTACAGACAGTGAAATAAGGTGTAATTGTTCTAATTGATACCTACAGACAGTGAAATAAGGTGTAATTGTTCTAATTGATATCTACAGACCATGAAGTAAGGTGTAATTGTTCTAATTGATATCTACAGACCGTGAAGTAAGGTGTAATTGTTCTAATTGATACCTATAGACCATGAAATATAGTGTAATTGTTTTAATTGATATCTACAGATCGTGAAATAAGGTGTAATTGTTCTAATTGATACCTACAGGCCATGAAATATAATGTAGTTGTCATAACTGATACCTACAGACCATGAAATATAGTGTAATTGTTATAACTGATACCCATAGACCATGAAGTAAGGTGTAATTGTTCTAATTGATATCTACAGACCATGAAGTAAGGTGTAATTGTTCTAATTGATATCTACAGACCGTGAAATAAGGTGTAATTGATACATATAGACCATGAAATATAGTGTAATTGTTATAATTGATACCTATAGACCATGAAATAAGGTGTAATTGTTCTAATTGATACCTATAGACCATGAAATATAGTGTAAATGTTCTAATTGATATCTACAGACCATGAAGTAAGGTGTAATTGTTCTAATTGATACCTAAGACCATGAAATAAGGTGTAATTGTTCTAATTGATACCTATAGACCATGAAATATGGTGTAATTGTTCTAATTGATATCTACAGACTTTGAAGTAAGGAGTAATTGTTCTAATTGATACCTACAGACCGTGAAGTAAGGTGTAATTGTTCTAATTGATATCTACAGACCGTGAAATATGGTGTAATTGTTCTAATTGATACTTACAGACCATGAAATAAGGTGTAATTGTTCTAATTGATACCTACAGACCGTGAAGTAAGGTGTAATTGTTCTAATTGATACCTACAGACCGTGAAGTAAGGTGTAATTGTTCTAATTGATACCTACAGACTGTGAAGTTAGGTGTAATTGTTGGGTTGGGAGTAAATATCAAGTTAATTTGAAAACAGAGATATGGTAATGGAGAATAAAGACTAGTAAGCTTTAACTCTTTCCAAATGGGTCAAAGGCCATGTCATCTCGTTTGTTGACTTGCATTTAAAATTTTATTGAACTACTATTTTATGAATTTATGTCAATAAGTTTGTCATCAAACTGTAGATTATAATTCAAATTTTACTATTATACATTATTCAATTTCTTAATTTAAAAGTACATATTAAAAAAACACTTAAACATCGATTTTTGTGTGTCACTTGGTATGTTGAATGCAGCACTGGTTCAAATTAGATGTTTATGATATCAAAATACCAAGTCTATAGTTTTGTATGAATTAGGAACTCAAATTACCAATATTAACAAGCTAGAATATAAGATAAGAACCTCCTATCTTTTATATTTACTGAGTTATTGCTCATGTACTGAATCAAACACAGTGGCCCTGCTCACCTCTTTCCATTTTTGGAAACGTTCCCTTATATATATGTGTATATATATACACTTAACTCTGTCTATGACATGTGAATAACCAATCGAAAGCTCAGAATGTCCCCCTATTGGCTTTGTCAGCCATTTTAAAATCTCACGATGCCATCTCATTCTTTCGAACCAAGATTTCAAAGAAGTGGGTTATGTCTTTAGTCTAATCGAAATTTTTGTTTTTTAAACCCAAATACAGCTTAGTTACCAAGCTTCTTAAAATATAGTGGAGTTCTGTATATCAATATAGTAATTTATGAGATTTTGTTGGTTATTCAACGGTATATATATATATAAAATAATTTATTTCGTTTCACATTCTACGAGTACGAAATTTTATAAGGCTTAGCAACCTACGAGTACAAAGGTCGTAACTAGAAGAGATAATCGTTTGCTTTAATTCTCCATATACTGTTCTATGTTTTAAGAAAAATAAGTTTAAAAAGTTATTTGTAAATAGTAATAATGTTTGTACATATATAATGTATAATAATTGAAATGTGACTATTTTACAAAAATACTAGTGTACTAAAACAAAGCCAAGACAAGTTACTTTGCATAGATCAACAGGTCAGTTTTATATTATTGTATACAGTAGCATGAGTGCACGTGAGCCACGTCATTGTAACTTCTGTATTGTTAGCCAGGCATGGCTGAAAGGTCAATATAATAAATATATATAAATGTATAATGTTATGAGATTTCAGCTATTTAGTCTAAACATTTATGTTTTCGTATTATAATCTGTTGTCAATCTAGAATGCAAGAGGCATAGTTTATATTTATTACCTAATTTTCTATGGTGGTTACAAGATCGGTCAAATCGACCAAACCCGTACAGAGATTCATTATTGAAAATAACAGATAAAACATAAATTTTTTTCATAACTATCTCAGTATCTGAACGTTATAAAGATTTCACATGTGAAATTTAAAAATTTTCTGATGCATAAGAATATTTTAATTTTAAAATGAAAATTACATTGCTTGTTGATAGGCAACATGGAAAAAAAAAAAGGCATGAGAAAAACATTCCGTAACAAACCTTAAGACTTGAAAAAAAAATTGATATTTTGCATATGAAAGCCTTTTAATGTTTACTGATAATCTGCCAAATTTTTTGATCATCTTGTTCTTCATTGCAAGCACTCAACGATTAAAATCTATTTGAAAACTGGTATCCGAATGCTAACTAAGCTAACCTTTATACCCTTAACAATTTTTACCACTGTGTATCCTTGTACTCTTGTGTTCCAAATAACAGTGCAGGATGGAATAATTCAGACTTCATATTTAACGACTGTACAGGTATAAATCATAGTATGAAACTGAAATTTGTGTTTTTCATTAAAGACTGAAAAAAAGTTGTACAGACCCAAATAAGTATTGTGGAGTGTGGAAAATGTCTCCAAAATTAATAGTTGTTCCGGTATGGTTACATGGAACACTCAGCATCATCATTCTCAACATAATGACTTTTACCTAAACTCTAACCACTCTTATAACCCCACAGCTATCTCTAACTTATCCTCAAGTAAACAAGCTCTACAAATGTAATGTACTGAGACTTTCTATATGTCCTGAAAGTGCAATCAAGCCAACAGTTCTAAAACATCCTATAAATTTCACCCAATATATCCCCGAATCATATTAACTCTTTCAGCATGGGCTTGTTTTTGTGCTTATTATAGTTTTCATGCCATAACTTTTTAATTAGTAAGCATATGTTAACATCATCTTTCATTTAAGCCCTGGATCCTCTGAGAAATGTATTTCCACATCTAGCCCGACATCACTTTTGTTTCTATTTATAAACCTTTGAAGAAGTTCATGACTTTCAAGCAGCTTTTAAAGTTTCCAACATCATTCAATCCTACACACACTACAAAAACAATACTTCTTAGTACCAATAACTAGACTGTCAAAACCTACACTTTACTACCTGGTAAGTAAACACCTTTCTCAGTATACTTAATAAGACTAAGTAGGTAAACCTCGGCAACAGTTGGGTTGGTTATCTGTGGAATAGTTTTAAGGTTAATTATATTCTAGAGATGGGTTTCACATAAACAATGTACATTGTTGAATTTTTCAAGAAGCTCTAAAGATATATAACTAAAGTTGCCTAGTGATGAGAGAGAGTTTGGAAATACGAGATTTAGAGCAGAACACTAAGTTAAATAATGCTTTTAAAGATACGTCTGTTAGGGTTAAAGATAAACTTGAATAATATTTGTTGCTATTATTCTAGTGTTTGAAGTATTAGGAACAAAATGGCATGAATTAGTGAAATGTGGTTAAGTTTGAAGAACATTGATAACAACAATTATTTTGAAATTTCAAGTTATTTAATAGGGATATATATTTTAAAAGACAGGACTGGGTGGCTCTTTTTATAAAGAATGAACTGCAGACTGTTTAGATTGGAGATATAAAAACGTTGTAGTTAAGAGGTAGAATCTACACATATTTCAATCAGGAGTTTCAAAGTTAGGAAATATTTAATTGGCAGTTGTTAAAGGTCATCTGATAAAACAGATGATGTTGGTGAGGTCAGAGTACTGATGCAATCGTTATGGAAGTCTGTTTATAGACACATTGATTGGAGTTGCATGGAAAGAGATTTGTTCAATTGATTCAAGATGGTTTACCATAACAAATAATCGGACAGCCAAGTGGTACATTATGTCCATAAACATGGTATGGCCATATTTCATTAAATTATTTTGGTAGGATGTCTAAAATGGTACAGTTTTAATAGTTCATAGTCTTTTCACGCCAAAAGTTATCATCTAAAAATAAAACCCTCAAATTTTCCCCCCAAAATCAAGTATGGGAGGATTTAGTTTAGGGTGGGGGCCCTTATCGATAGAAAACTCCTTGGATTTTATGTTCTGAGATTTTCAAAGAGGTTTTGATTATGTACACATAAAGTTACATGAAGGCTGTCTGCACTAGCTGTCCCCAATTTAGCAGTGATGGACTAGTGGAAAGGTAACTAGTGAACACCACCCACCACCAACTCTTGGACTACTCTTTTTACCAACAAATAGTAGGATTGGCCATCACATTATAACACACCCACAGATGAAAGGGTAAGCTTGTTCGGTGACAGAAACTTGAGCCTAGATAAAGTCCATTAATAAGTTTTTAAAAAAGAGTGACACATCAATCATATTGACTTTTCAGTACATGTTAGTCAAACATTTGTTACATCTAATTCTGTTGCCTTTTTTCAGCATAATAGTGGAGCAGACTTAGCAAATTTATTGGTGGATGTTTTAACCAAAGCTAAACTAACCAACATCAGTGACTTACCAAGATCTTCTGAAGTAACAAGTGAACCTCTCTGTATTTAATATAGTGTTGTTTTAACCAAAGCAGGTTCACTTGTTACTTCAGAAGATCTTGGTAAGTCACTGATGTTGGTTAGTTTAGTATAGTGTTGTTTTAACCAAAGCAGGTTTCACTTGTTACTTCAG